TTCGCACACCATGTTATTTATCAGGTTTCGTGCCCCTCCCACCCCTCCAGGGAGGCCCCGCCTGAGCGAGCAGGGTATTCGCACACCATGTTATTTATCAGGTTTCGTGCCCCTCCCACCCCTCCAGGGAGGCCCCGCCTGAGCGGAGGGGCACCCAGGTTTCGCCTGAGGCCCCGCCTGAGCGCAGGGTATTCGCACACCATGTTATTTATCAGGTTTCGTGCCCCTCCCACCCCTCCAGGGAGGCCCCGCCTGAGCGAGCAGGGTATTCGCACACCATGATATTTATCAGGTTTCCTGCCCCACCCATCCCTCCAGGGAGGCCCCGCCTGAGCGAGCAGGGTATTCGCACACCATGCTATTTATCAGGTTTCGTGCCCCTCCCACCCCTCCAGGGAGGCCCCACCAGAGCGGGAAGGGTGTTCGCACACCATGTTATTTATCAGGTATCCTGCCCATCCCACCCCTCCAGGGAGGCCCCGCCTGAGCGAGCAGGGTATTCGCACACCATGTTATTTATAAGTTTTCGTGCCTCTCCCACCCCTCCAGGGAGGCCCAGCCTGAGCAAGCAAGGTATTCGCACACCATGTTATTTATCAGGTTTCGTGCCCCTCCCACCCCTCCAGGGAGGCCCCGCCTGAGCGAGCAGGGTATTCGCACACCATGTTATTTATCTGGTTTCGTGCCCCTCCCACCCCTCCAGGGAGGCCCCACCAGAGCGGGCAGGGTATTCGCACACCATATTATTTATCAGGTTTCGTGCCCCTCCACCCCTCCAGGGAGGCCCCACCAGAGCGGGCAGGGTATCCGCACACCATGTTATTTATCAGGTTTCGCGCCCCTCCCAACATTCCAGGGAGGCCCCGCCAGAGCGGGCAGGGTATTCGCACACCATATGATTTATCAGGTTTCATGCCCCTCCCACCCCTCCAGGGAGGCCCCACCAGAGCGGGCAGGGCATTCGCACACCATGTTATTTATCAGGTTTCGTGCCCCTCCCGCCACTCCAGGGAGGCCCCGCCAGAGCGGGCAGGGTATTCGCACGCCATATTTTATTATTAGGTTTCGTGCCGTTCCCGCCCCTCCAGGGAGGCCCCACCAGAGCGGGCAGGGTATTCGCACACCATGTTATTTATCAGGTGTCGTGCCCCTCCCACCCCTCCAGGGAGGCCCCACCAGAGCGGGCAGGGTATCCGTACACCATATTATGTTTCAGGTTTCGTGCCCCTCCCACCCCTCCAGGGAGGCCCCACCAGAGCGGGGAGGGTATTCGCACACCATATTATTCATCAGGTTTCGTGCCCCTCCCACCCCTCCAGGGAGGCCCCACCAGAGCGCAGACGAGAAGCAATGGAAGCCCGTAACATCTTTATGTGGGGAACTCCGTTAGCATAATTTCCCAACCATCTTGTGGTGTTGGGTCTTCGTTTTTGAAGAGAGCGCCCTGCGTCCCACCTCCTTCCTCCTCCTCCCCCTCCTCCCTTCTCCCCCTCCTTGCCTCTGCTCTCGGCACACCTCTCACACGCTTCGTGGCCCCATAGGGCGCTCCACCGAAGGCCCCAGTGGCTGCTCTCGCATGCGTTTCCCGCACCCAGGGCAGCGCTTCGTGGCCCCGTAGGGCGCTCCACCGAAGGCCCCTGTGATTGCTCTCGCATGCGGTTCCCCCACCCAGGGCAGCGCTTCGTGGCCCCATAGGAAGCTCCACCGAAGGCCCCAGTGGCTGCTCTCGCATGCGGTTGCCCCGCCCAGGGCAGCGCGTCGTGGCCCCGTAGGGAGCTCCACCGAAGGCCCCAGTGGCTGCTCTCGCATGCGGCTCCCCTCACCCAGGGCAGCGCTTCGTGGCCCCATAGGGAGCTCCACCGAAGGCCCCAGTGGCTGCTCTCGCACGCGGTTCCCCCACCCAGGGCAGCGTTTCGTTGCCCCATAGGGAGCTCCACCGAAGGCCCCAGTGGTTGCTCTCGCATGCGTTCCCCCCCGCCCAGGGCAGCGTTTCGTGGCCCCATAGGAAGCTCCACCGAAGGCCCCAGTGGCTGCTCTCGCATGCGGTTCCCCCGCCCAGGGCAGCGCTTCGTGGCCCCGTAGGGAGCTCCACCGAAGGCCCCAGTGGCTGCTCTCGCATGCGCTTCCCCCACCCAGGGCAACGTTTCGTGGCCCTATAGGGAGCTCCGCCGAAGGCCCCAGTGGCTGCTCTCGCACGCGGTTCCAGTCATCCAGGGCAGCGCTTCGTGGCCCCATAGGGAGCTCCACCGAAGGCCCCAGTGGCTGCTCTCGCATGTGGTTCCCTCACCCAGGGCAGCGCTTCGTGGCCCCATGGGGAGCTCCACCGAAGGCCCCAGTGGCTGCTCTCGCATGGGGGGTCCCCCACCCAGGGCAGCGTTTTGTGGCCCCATAGGGAGCTCCACCGGAGGCCCCAGTGGCTGCTCTCGCATGCGGTCCCCCCATCCAGGGCAACGTTTCGTGGCCCTATAGGGAGCTCCGCCAAAGGCCCCAGTGGCTGCTCTCGCATGCGGTTTCCGTCACCCAGGGCAGCGCTTCGTGGCCCCATGGGGAGCCACACCGAAGGCCCCAGTGGCTGCTCTCGCATGCGGTTCATGCGGTTCCCCCACCCAGGGCAGCGCTTCGTGGCCCCATGGGAAGCTCCACCGAAGGCCCCAGTGGCTGCTCTCGCATGGGGGTTCCCCCGCCCAGGGCAGCGTTTCGTGGCCCCATAGGGAACTCCACCGAAGGCCCCAGTGGCTGCTCTCGCATGCGGTTCCCCGCCCAGTGCAGCGTTTCGTGGCCCCATAGGGAGCTCCACTGGAGGCCCCAGTGGCTGCTCTCGCATGCGGTTGCCCCGCCCAGGGCAGCGTTTCGTTGCCCCATAGTGAGCTCCACCGAAGGCCCCAGTGGTTTCTCTCGCATGCGGTCCCCCCGCCCAGGGCAGCGCTTCGTGGCCCCAAAGGGAGCTCCGCCGAAGGCCCCAGTGGCTGCTCTCGCATGCGGTTCCCCCACCCAGGGCAGCGCTTCGTGGCCTCATAGGGAGCTCCACCGAAGGCCCTAGTGGCTGCTCTCGCATGCGGTTCCAGCGCTTCGTGACCCCATATGGAGCTCCACCGAAGGCCCCAGTGGCGCAGTTCGCATGCGGTTCCCGTACCCAGGGCAGCGTTTCGTGGTCCCATAGGGAGTTCCACCGAAGGCCCCAGTGGCGCAGTTCGCATGCGGTTCCCCCACCCAGGGCAACGCTTCGTGGCCCCATGGGGAGCTCCACCAAAGGCCCCAATGTCGCAGTTCGCATGCGGTCCCCCCACCCAGGGCAGCGCTTCGTGGCCCCATCGGGAGGCACCGAAGGCCCCCGTTGCGCAGTTCGCATGCGGTTCCCCCACCCAGGGCAGCGTTTCGTGGCCCCATCGGGAGCTCCACCGACGGCCCCAGTGGCGCAGTTCGCATGCGGTTCCCCCGCCCAGGGCAGCGCTTCGTGGCCCCATAGGGAGCTCCACCGAAGGCCCCAGTGGCGCAGTTCGCATGCGGTTCCCCCGCCCAGGGCAGCGCTTCGTGGCCCCATGGGAAGCTCCACCGAAGGCCCCAGTGGCTGCTCTCGCATGGGGGTTCCCCCGCCCAGGGCAGCGTTTCGTGGCCCCATTGGGAGCCCCACCGAAAGCGGCACCCACAACGCGTTACTAACAATTGCTTATGGTTGGGTCCTTCGCCAGGAGAATTGATTTAATTATTGGTGATGCAGTGGAGGCCCATGCCAAGAAACAGCATGCTTGACTCCAGGGTGCTCTGGGTTTCCTGGGTTTCGATGGTTTTGCGATTGAAAGCATGACCTTCCCATACCAACCATCAAAGGACGCCCTGGGGTCTCAGGGTTGGGTTTCTTGTGGAAGGTTTCTTGTGGATTGGTCTCCACTGTAACGGGCGGGCCGGGCATGACTGGGGTGCGAGGATGCCGGTAACGTCGCGGTTCGCGCTGGCAATGTCCATGGGGAGTGCTGCTAGAAATGGCGCCTCCCACCCGGCCGGCCCCTGGACGGATCGTGGCGTGGCGGGTGGGGGTGGGGAGTGGAAGGTTTGCTTTTCTCTTTTCTGTTACAGAGAAAGCATAACATAACATGAAATGACGTAGAAACCACACGCGCACAAAAAGAGTTGGCTGTGATTGTTCACCGCGTGGACCCCTGGAGGTCTGTCGGCCACGCGCAGAGCAGGGTAGGGGGAGGGGGGGAGGCTTCTTAGGGGCGGTCTGCTTCGTAGAAGGCGCGGGCCTTGTCTGGCAGATGTAGGCCCAGCGTCTTCGGCTCGATGCGGAGCCCAGTTTGCTCCGCATCGACGTCGCCGATGCATCGCCGACGTCGACGATGCATCGCCGGTGCATCGCCGACGTCGACGATGCATCGCCGGTGCATCGCCGATGCATCGCCGATGCATCGGCGATGCTACTCCGACCCCACGGCAGTCTCTCGGCGAGGCGCAGGCCAGAGAGCTGCCGAGGACGACGCCCTGCGCCCGAGCACAGCAAGATCGGCCGACTTGGTATTTGGTTCGCGCCGCGGCGCGAGGAGGCTTGGGTCGGCCCCTGATCCCCCCCCCTCTGGTTCTAGGCCTCCTAGATGGGGTCGGAGTAGATGGGGTCGGAGGATCGCGCCGCATCGCCGATGCATCGGCGATGCATCGGCGATGCTGCTCGATGTAAAGCCCGAGTTGCTTCACGTCGACGTCGGCGATACATCGCCGATGTCGACGATGCATCGCTGGTGCATCGGCGATGCGGCGCGATCCTCGGACCCCATCTAAGAGGCTTCCATTATGGTGTAACTCCATGGGAGGTTACATACAGGATCGGCGCATTCCGCTTTATCCAGCTCTGCCCCGGGCTTAGTCCAGCTCAGTGGCCTCCTGATCGGGCCTATAATCCTTGATAGGGCTCCCCCTACACCCCTGTGCGCGCCCCCAAGATGTTTCCGGTCCCCCCCAGCAACGTTCCTCCGCCCACCAGCACTACCCCGTTCCTTTCGCGGCAGGCGCTGCGGGACCTGGTCGAGTCGCTCGAGTCCGTTTCCGCGCGCGTGGCGGCGTTGGAGGCGGGCGGGCGGGCGGGAAGTCGCCGCCGAAGGAGGAGGAGGAGAAGGGGAGGAGGAGGTCGGGCGCCTCTGCTCAGCTGCACGCAGAGAAGGGTAGGGGGAGGAGAGAAGGCTTCTTAGAAACACCCCTCCTTCTTAGAAGGCGCGGGCCGTGTCTGCAGATGTAGGGCCGCCGCCTTCCAAGAAGCAGCCTCCTTCTGAGAAGCAGCCTCCCCCTACCCCCCTGCGCGCGCCGCCAATCGGCCTCCCCATGGCGAGGGCCCAAATTTCCGACGATCTGTATGTTTCAATCCCGGCGGTTGTCCTTGGTTCCGGTCTCCGCGGTTTCGGTGTGGTCAGGTCCTGTGGGAGAGGCACGCGCAGATCCAGAAAGGAAAGGCAGCCCCAGGGAAGGGGCCGGGAGCTCTGGGGTGCTCTGAGAGGTCATATCGTCGGATATCTAGGGAGGACGAGGACGGCCGCAGCTGCGCTCTGGGTTGGCAGCCAGGTAAGGGGTGCAGCACGGTCCTCCGGAACGGACGGCGTTGCCCCCCAGGGCCGCAGTGCCCGCGAAGTTGCCTCCTCCGCCCTGCTCTTTTCCTCTTGTCGTTGTTGTCGTCGTCGTCGCCCCCCTCTGTGTGTCGCTACAGGCTGAGGCTGCGGATGGGTCCGGCGGCTGTAGTTATTCTCCTGCACGGGGGCGTCTGCGACACGCTGTGTTTGCTCTAAGCCATGGTGGGTTCGTGTGTTTTGCTGCTCCTCTTTGCCATTCTCTCTTCCGTAGGCTGCGTGCGGATGCACGCCTCTGTTGTGCGCATCGCATGAGACCGATCTATTTCGTCCCTTCGATGAACCGATTACAGATCATAGCCAGTGCAACGTCAAACATCAGGAGGTCAGGCTGTGCTGGAGGGGGGGCACTAGCAAAGAGCATTGAGGACCGACAGAGCTTTGATCGTCTTCTGGCGCCCTTGGGTGTCCTGCTGGGGTCTGGGGGGTCCAGGGGGATCCGTTCCTCCTGGAGGAGCGGTGGCCGTGATCCCCCTCCCTGGCACTGCCAGGACAGAGGGGGGAGGAGGACGTGGAAGAGGGGGACGGAAACTTTCTAGTACAGTGGAGGCCCATGCCAAGAAGCACCCTACTTGGTGGCACCAGGGTGCCTTGGGTTTCCTGGGTTTCGATGGTTCTGAGATGAAAAGCAGCGTGACGTTCACACACCAAGAATCCGTGGACGCCCTGCGGTCTCAGGGTTGGATTTCTTGTGGAAGGTTTCTTGTGGACTGGTCTCCACTGTAACGGGCGGCCCAGGCATGACTGGGGAGCGGGGAGGGGGGGAAGGATGCCGGTGACGTCACGGCTCTCGCCGGCATTGTCCATGGGGGATGCCTATGCCTATAGGAGTGGCTCATTCCCACCCGGCCCCTGGGTCCTATAGGAGGGCTCCTATAGGAATGGTTCCTATCAGCAGGTTCCTTGTGGTCGACCCCCATCCTGTAGATTGAGTGGAGCGCGCATGCCGCCATACACCCGTAATTACTCGGAGGAGGGCCCTGGTCGAGGCCACGGCCGTTCTCCTCCTCCTCCTCCTCATCCTCCTCCTCCTCCCGGAGCCTCCTCATTCTCCTTCTCCTCGTGCTGCTCCTTATCCTCCTCCTCCTCCTCCTCCTCCTCCTCCTGCTCCTCCTCATCCTCCTCCACCTCCTCCTCCCCCTCCTTCCCCTCCTCCCCCTCCTCCTGCTGCTGCTTCTGCTGCTCCTCCTCCTCCTCCATTTCCTCCTCCCCCTCCTCCCCCCCTCCTCCTTCCTCCTCCCTCCTCCTCCTCCTCCTCCCTCCTCCCTCCTCTCCCTCCTCCTCCTCCCTCCTCCCCCCCTCCTCCCCTCCTCCTCCCTCCTCCTCCTCCTCCTCCTCCTCCTCCTCCTCCTCCTCCCCCTCCTCCCCCTCCTCCCCTTCCTCCTCCTTCCTCCTTTTCGTCCTCCTCCTCCTCCTCCTTCTCCTCCTCCCCCCCTCCTCCTCTCCCTCCCCCTTCTTCCTTTCCTCCTCCTCCTCCTCCTTTTCCTCCTCCTCCTCCTCCTCCTCCTACCTGCTCCTCCTCCTCCTCGTCCTCATACCTGCTCCTCCTCCTCGTTTCGTCGCCACTCTGCCGGACCCACCTCGAACGCGGATCTGGATGGACCCCAGGAGGGGTCTCGGGGCGCGATTTCGAGCGAAGTTGGTACAGGCGGCACGTATGCCGCCGTTGCCGTCGTCTCAAATTAGCCCTACTCCGAAAGAGGAGCGATGGTTCATCGAGGAATGGAAGCACTGCAAAAGACACACACATTGTTAGCCAGCGTGGACCCCAACAGCGTATCTTCAGCAGTCGATGGTTTGCCTTATGTTTGAAGGGCAATGTATGTTTGCACTCTACGCGGTGCAGTATATGTTGCATCTGCGGTGCAATACAAGCGGTTCAATGTATGTGGTGCAAGTTATGTGGTACAGTCGACGTGTTGCAATACATGTTGCGCAATATATGGTTTGTTGTGTACGTGCTGCATGATATGTGATGCAATACATGTAATGCAGTATCGGTTGTGCATTCGATGTCGCGCAACATGGTTTGTGCAGCCCATGTGGTGCAACAGTTGCGGTGCACTCGATGTTGTTCATTACATGTTGTGCAGGCTGCGTGGTGCAATATAGGTTGTGCTCTCTTTGTGACGCAGTCTCTGGCATGCAGCCGACGTGGTGCAATAGATTTTGTACACTCTAGTGTGTGCAACCGATGCTGTGCAACCCATGCGGTACAATCTATGCGCTGCAGTTCTTGTTGTGCAAGCTATGTGGTGCAGTATGTGTGGTGCAGTCTACGTGGCGCAATCCTTGTGGTGCAATCTATGCGGTGCAATCCACGTTGTGAAATCTGAGGCGGTCTCGAGGCGGCGACGGGGTGGCGACGGCGGCCACATAGCCGCCAGACCAGAGACGCGGCCCAGACGACGGGCGGCGACGAGGTGGCGACTTGGCGGCGACGGCGGCCACATAGCCGCCATTCCGAAGACGCGGTCCAGTTCCTTAGAACAGCCCCTCAGTCCGAAGCACAGCTTGGGGACAATCCGTGGACCGTCGGGAAGGGGGATCCAGCGCCGACCAGAGAAGTCCGCGCGGACCTCCGACGGTGTATGCTTATGCAGTCTTATATCACTGCTCGTTGCCAGTGGAGCGCGAGGGCCCTGCACAGCCATACTGGCCCGCGGGCGACCCGGCGGCGAACTTGGAGTAGTAGGATCGTTGCGTGGCCCCGAGGTGCGGATCCAGCGGGCATGGGGTAGTTTCGTGGCCCCGAGTTGCGGGTCCAGTTGGCCTGGTGTCCGCAATAATACGGGGACGGGGGAGGACGAGGAAGACCCTGACATTCTTGCGCCGTGGACACATGACGCAAGCTTGTTTGGCCAGTTTCGGCCCCCAGGCGCCGTCGAACAACGGTTCGGCTTGGAGAGCTTGTCTTTCGCAAGGAGTCCGGTTTTCTGGCCGGCACAAACGATCTGTGCACTCAAAGAATAGAAGCGGCCCATTTGCGGGCGCCGCTGTCGGTTCTGGGCAACTACTGCTGCTCGGCGCTGTACCCATTAACAGGGAGGGGGTAGGGAAGAGGAGGAGGAGGAGGAGGAGGAGGAGGAGGAGGAGGAGGTGGCCGGGCAGAGCAGACGCGAAAGGAGGAGTAGGAGGAAGAGGGGGGGACGGAGCACCTTGACATCTTCGCGCCGACGTGCAGCATGACTAAGGACGGAAGGTTGCAGGCAGCTTTCGGCTTGCTTGGGGACCCCACCTGGACCTGGGATTGTAAAGACAAGCCACCTCAGGATGAGAGGCCCGTCCCCGGGAAGTTTTTCGGGAGCCACGCCGTGAAACAACAGCACGACGCTGGATTTCTGGGGGCGAGGCAGAGTCCGAGGAGTAGTGCCGCGTCTGAAAGAGCAGAGCGAGAGCGGGGGTAAAAGGGCCTCCCTCCTGAGATGACCCTCACGAGCTGGAGCGACGCCTAGTTTTTTGTCGTCTTCTCGAATGCTCGGTCTCCTCTCGGCTGCTCGTCCTTGCTTCCAGCACGGCTGGGGTCAGCAGCGCTGGCATGCGCAGTACGAGCGCACTCGCAGCAGTAGTGGCTTTACCAGCACGACGGGGGCAGCAGCACGCCACGGCGACAAGGAGCACACCAGCACGACGGGGACCATAACTTTTGAGCTGGGGGCTTGAGCCACGAGGGAGGACATTGGGAGGGAGGGGCAACAAAAACCTCACCACCCCTGGCGTAGCACTGGCGACGCCAGGGGGAGGCGGCCCGTCCACTCACATCCCCATCAGACGCGGGGGTGCGAAGACTCTGGGGACGGGACAGGGGTGGGCACCGAAGGGCACCATGAGCCGTTCAAACACCAGAGGTGGGCACCATAAGCCTACCGCAACCAGCGGAGGTACACCTGATGTCCCCCACCCTAGTTATACGATGCCATTCACCATTCATTGAACTTTCCACCCTGGTGTTTCAACCCCCTCTCCAACTGCTTCAGCAGATGGTCCCAACCTCTTGGAATGCCCGGGAAGAGGGACGGAGGGGCAGGAGGAGAAGGCGGATGGAAGGAAAAGGAGGAGTGACGAGGAGGGACGACCAGGGGGGAGGCGGATGAATAGTCGGAGGAGGGACAGGAAGAGAAGGATGAAGTGGTGGATCAGTAGGGCGCGCAGCGAGGAGTAAAGTAGGATGACGATTTAGATTTGCTGGGGGTCCCTTGGCGATGATCAGCCTGCTCGTGGGGGCCGTCGCCGTGATTGATATTAGTTGTTATCTCCCTCTTCAGGATCTTTCGCAGCGGAAAGCTACTTGCTGAAGCCGTCCCCCACGTGTGTTTTACGAACCGCCATCCTACATCAGGGAAGAGGCGCTGGAGGAGGATCAGGACGGAGGACGAGAAGGAAAAGAAGGGGGAGAAGCGAATCAGAGTGGGGAGGAGAAGAGGGAATATTTGCAGTTACCTACCAAAGCCAAGACAAGCATTGATCAGCTAAATCTACTTTCTTCGGACACACCCAGCAACCTTGCGAAGTAACCGACGACGACTGCGAGACGACGAAAGATGAACACAATAAAACAAAACAACCTGTAACACAAGTCCTCGATGACGCCGCCGACGACGGCGAGCACGTCGACGACGACGACCTCGACCAAGTCGACCACGTCGACGACGTCCACGACGATGACCACGTGGACGACGACGTCGACGACGACGACGATGACGACGACGACGACCACGTCGACAGCGTCGACAATGACGTCGACGACGGCGACCACTTCGACGACGATGACAACGGGGTCGACGACGTCGGCAACGTCGACCACGTCGCCTATGGCGACGTCGGCGAAGTCCACGACGACGACGGCGGCGAAGACGACGACGACGACGACGGCGAGGCGCCACGAGACGGCGCGCGCACGCGCGCAGGCCTCGCCCCACCACGGCGCCGGGCCGCCGTACCGGGGGAGCCCAGTCTCGCCCGCGGGCGACGCTCTCAGCCTCGTCGTCGTCGGGCGCCCTTCGTGGTCATTCGTTCCGTCGCCGTCGTCGTCGTCATCGTCGTCGGTGGTCGTCCGTCGTCGTGGCTGTCGTCGTCGCCTCGTGGTCGTCGTCATTCATTCCGTCGTCGTCGTCGTCGTCGTGGTCGTCGTACGCCCCCACGGATCCAACACATGGAACAAATCGAGACGGCGGTTGTTTTCTGGCCTCAGCCTCTGGGAGCCAACGCCGGGCCCCATGACCATAAAAAACACCCCAGGATGGAAAGGTGAACCCCAGGAGTGCCTCAAGATTTCCAGGTACCCCATAATAGAATGAAAGTGTCAAGACGTCGGATCTCTGGGTCGTCGTTGTCGTCGTACGCGCGTCGTCGAGGTCTTCGTCGTGCGTGCCCTGTCGTGGTCGTGGTATGTGGTCGGCGTCGTCGTCGTCGTACTTGAGATGCCTTCCGGCAGCTGCGTCTCGCCGAGAGGATCCTGGCCGTGCCCGGGTTGTTCCGTACAGCCGCCAGAGTTGGAGTCGGGCTGGAAGTAGAACCTGCGACGTGCGGTTGGTTGTTCGCCGTTCTCGGCCTCTGGGCGCCCTCGCCAGTCCCCGGGATCTTCAGGCAGCAGTTCCTGACGAGCAGCCCGTCCCCAGGAAAGGCCCAGACCTCTTTTGGGAGCCACGTCGCGAAACATTCGCGACGTCGGGTGTCTGGTGTGATCGTCGTGGACGCGTGCCTTGGGTAGTCGCGGCCGTCTTCGACGCCGACGGCCAGGTCGACTTCAACGTTGACGACAATGCCAGCTTCGTCGTTGTTGAAGGTGTCGTTGTTGTCGGCATCGGCGTCGTCGTTGCCACCATCCCTCCCGCCTCCGTCCCTCCACCATCTCTTCCCCCTCCCGCCTCCCTCCCTACCTCCCTCATCTTTCCTTTCTCCTCCTCATCCTCCTCCTTTATCTTCTCCTCCTCTCGTCCTACTTCTCCTCCTCCTCCTCCTCCTCTTCCTTCTCTCCTCCTGACTCCTTATCTGTCTCGCATTGCACGTGTCTGGGCACGCCAGAGTCCAGAGGCCGCAGCTGCACCCACCTTGTCTGAGCCAGGCCCAGGGCGCTCGTCCCCAGCGGTGGTCGCTCGTCCGCTCCTCCCTCCGCACGGGTGCGCGGGCCTGGTCGTCACGCCGCACGGTGCATCGCGACCTTTCTTCCCTGTGAGTGCTGGAGTCCTACGGGTGGTATAGCAGCACCAGTCCCCAGGGACTGCCCCAGGGGCGCCAGGCCCGAGCGGCCAGGACCCGACGGGAGCACCTGGGATCGAGTCGCGCGACGCCTCATGCCCCACTGTCTACGTAAATTCATAGCCTAGACATCAGACGTTGTGATTTTGTTCGCAGCGTGGTGCCCCAAAGCGGCTCCTCATCCCGGGTCGCGTTGGCTGGTCCTGGGGGTGCTGGCAAGGGCCCCCCCAGAGGCCGAAAAGCTATCGGAACCTCCCGCCGTGTTTTTTCTTAGTTTTTAGCGGCGCGAGGCTGCCAGGGAAGCTTCGAAGGCGGCCTGCCGCTTGATTCATTCAGCGCCGCTCCGCGATCGGCCCCGCCGTCACCGCATCTCCCTCTGCGCGAGCCGACAGAGCGTTGCAGCCACGGGGTGCCACAGGCAGCCAGCTGGCGATCAGCCTGCTCTCGGAGCGCCTGGACACGCTCGAGGCCTCGCCCAGCGTCGCCATCGTAGTCGCTTCCGCTGCAGCCGTCGCCTGCGATTCGGATGTTCTTGTTCCAGCCGTTCCTGAGGGTTGTCGTCGCCACGGCCAGACGCAGCTCGAACAGCTAGCCAGGATGGGCCCGGGAGGGAGAGGTCCAGCGCCCAGCTTTGAGCCGATGTCGGGCACCGACATCGTCGTTTCTCGTCTCGTCCGAGACGTCGTCGTCGTCGTCGTCGTCGTCGTCGTCGTCGTCGTCGTCGTCGTCGTCGTCGTCGGTCGAGGCCTTGTTTCTTACCTCTGGGGGCCGTCGTCGTCTTCGTCGTCGCCGTCGGGGATCGAGGCTCGAAGGTAGAGGTGCGAGGATCGAGGCTCCTGGGCGCGGGTGGCCCTCCTTGGGCCTCCGCGGGGGCCTCTGGGCATGACCTCTGAGGACTCGGCGCCGGTCACGTCGTCGTCGTCGTCGTTGCCGCCTTCCGCCCTCCTAAGGAAGAGGCGGGAGGGAGGAGGGAGGCATACGGGGGGGGCGTTCGTCAAGGAACATGCCGAGGAGGCTTCAGACCCTGGACGGTTCATTATCTCATGAGGGCGGCGGTGGTATTCATGACCAATCTACGATTGGCTTTCCACTGGCTTCCAGATCCTGGGTTCCTTAGCGAAGGTTTCCTCATCCAAGGCCATCACCGTCCGTAGCCATTTTGGCTCAAGGCCATGGAGCGCCCGACGACCGCGAGTCGTCCGCGGCGTACTGAGCGCGAGGGGCTCCTCGCTTTGGGCCAGAAGCGCGCAGTTTTGATTGAATGTGCTAGGGGGCGGCGGCGCGCGGTCTCGACAGAGGGATGGGGGCCCCCGCGCGGACTGTAGCTGCTGCTCCTGGGGCTCGCAGCGCTGGCGGCGGCAAGGGTGCCTATTGGGTCTGTCGCTGTGGGAAGTGGTCCTTCTGAACGAGGGCCAACTGCTGTGGGTGCCAGGCTACAGCGCAGCCCTGGGCCCGCGTCTTTGGAGAGGAAGCCGCGGCTGCAGGGCCCGCCCCGCCCCAGCCAGACGCCGAGGGCGACCTCGGTTCAGGCGGAGGCAGCAGCCCAGCCAGCAGCGGCGGAGGCATCTCGCGACATAGCTCCAGAGTGTCGGACCTGGAGCGCCCCATCGCCCACCTGGAGGCGTGCCTTCGCTTGGATACGTTGGCCGACGCCTAAATCGAGAAGCAGCTGGCCTCGCTACGTGCTCAGCGGGAGAAGGCGACCGCAGAGCAAGCGCGACACAAGGAGGCTGAGTTCACACCTGCGGCTCGCCTTCCCAGGGCGGCCAACGCGGCCAGTAAGGCGGAGCGCAAGGCGGCTGCAGCTCGCAGGGCGCTGGAGGCACCTGACCTGGCGGTGGCATCGGCGGAGCGGGCCGTGCAGGTTGCTGGCGATCAGCTGGAAGAGGCAGAGGAGCGCCGTGCAGAGGCGCTTGAGCGATTGGCAGAGCTCGGGACGGCGGCGGCAGCTGTTAAGTCGGAGAATGAGCGGATGCTGATCTCCGAAGCGGACTTGCAGGCGGTTCGCGGGCTCTTCCTGCAGCTGCGCACGTTGCCCTCGGCGCACCAGACTGGGAACTTCGTGGACGCCTGGCGGTCGACCATGCAGCAGCTGGAAGCCGTCGGGGGGCTCTTCGCGGACCGCGGCAGCTCGTCTGGGGCGTCAACCAGGGAACGCGGGCACGACAGCCCCCCGCTCGACGAAGATAAGGGCTCCGACGTGGAACTCATGGGTGAGCTGGTGCCTGCGTCTGAGCGCGGCCAGGCAGAGCGCCGCGGCTCGGCCGCAGGTGTCTGGTCTCAGGTGCCAAGGAGTGTGCTGCAGGAGTTGGCGGCTGAGGCATCCGACCTGGGCCCTGTGGCGACGGTACCTCCGAGCCGCGCGGCGGCGCCTGGCGGCGGCCTGCAGCAGCTCTAGCAGCGGCCCCCTGGCGCGGCCTGCCAGGGAGCTGAGGCTGGCGGGGGAGATCCCCACCCCTCCCTCGGCAACCAGTGCGGTCGCGATCAGTGGGTCCTCGCGGACGGAGGCCCACGCGGCGCTCGAGCAGCTGCGGGGCCGCGGGGTGCAGGCGGGCGCGTTCCTGGTGCAGGAGACGCGCCTCCACGGCTGCGCGGCGGAGGTCGCGGCGCGCAGCTGGTGTAATAGGACAGGGGTGCAGCTTGCGTTCGGCCCGCGCAGGCGCACGGGGTCGCAGGCGCAGGAGGTGTACTCCACTCGAGTCGGTGCTTCGACAGCCTGCGTCCGTGGCGTGGCCATGATTGAGCAGGACTGGGGTGTCATTGAGCACAGTGTTCTCGCTCGGCGGATTGCCTTCGGCGGCCTTGCGATCGCGATCGCGGGCGTCTACCTGGTGACGTCGTCGAGGCTCGCGGGGGCCGACCGCGAGCCGCTGGGTGGGGGCCAGGAATTCCGCAACGCGGTCAACGAGCCCTTCCTAGTTGCGGGCGGCTGGAACAGGGAGACCCAGGGCCCCCCTGCTCTTGGTGGCCGCGCTCCATCGGCGAGGCGCCGCTGGAGCCGCAGCGCGCGACGGGCGCCTGCAGGGGGTGCAGCTACTTCGTGATCTCGGCGGCGCGGTCGGGATTTCGGTGGCAGGCGCCGCTGCTGGGCGCCGGCGGCCTTCCCGTCGAAGCAGTGAGGGAGTTCTACGAAGTGGCGGAGCAGCGCCTCATCGCGCCCTTCGAGATCCAGGACGGCGGCTCCTATGCCGGGCGCTCGAAGGGGCTGCGTCGCGCGGGACAGGGCTAACAAAAAACGCGCAGCGAACTTAGACCGCGCGGAAGGTCAGCCCGCGGACGAGGCCCTGGAGGCCGCCGGGGCGGCTGGCGCGGCAGCTGGCAGCGGCCGTGGCGGCGCGGGCTGCCACGGCGAAGCACGCCATGTCGGACGCCCAGTTTGCCTGCAGCCGCTGGAGCGGCTCATTGGTCGAAGCGCCAGCAGGGAGCGACAGGGAAGCCCATGCAGTCAACAAGCCGCCGCCAGGACAGAAGCTCTCGCCTTCGGATTCCGAGGGAGGCGGCCCCTCGGCCCCGCTTGTTGGCCGGGCGGCCCTCGACCAGATCCTCTTGGAGTGGGGGCAGCTCTGGCTCGATAGAAGAGAGGCCAAGCAGGCGGACCTGGAAGGGGCCGCGCCTGGTCCTGGGCCACCCGCGAGCTGGGAGGTGATCATGGTCCTGCCCGAGATCACTGGCGAGGAGGTGCTGCACGTGGTGAAGTCAGTTCCCAAGCGGACCGCGCTGGGATGGGACGGCTACCACCCGCACCTGCTGCTGCTGCGAGGACGGCCCTTCGCTGATCGCGCGGGCGCGCTGCAGACGGCGAGCGAGCGCGACCCTCACCCGACGGGCTTCTTCACCGCGTGGATTGTCTGGGCCCGAGGCTTGGCCAGGTGCGCGTCAGTTCTGGAGGTCCACGCGACGGGGGTGGGGGCCCGCGTCTGCTCGCCGACGTTGGCGCGGGGGGACCTGGACTTCGGGGCGCCCGAGAAGGACGGGGCGGGGCCCGGCGCCGCGGCAAGGAGGCGAGGGGGCAGGCGCGGCGGCAGCGGCGGCGGCGCTGGCAGCGGCTTCGGCGGTGGAGTTCGCTGGCGCCGAGGACACATCAGGCGACGCGCGGGTGCGTAAGAGGCCTGCGGCGGCGCGGGCTACGAGCAGGGCAGGCCGCCGAAGGTCGAGAGGCTTCCGGGCCCCCGAGGAGGCAGCGGCTGCGGCGGACCCAGCGGACGGGGCGCCCGCCAGCGAGCCCTGGGAGGTCCACGGCCACAGGCTGATGATGGGAGTTCCTGAGGGCGGGGAGGTCGAGTTCATGGTCTGCATGACCTGCTTCCTCTTCGCCAGAGTCCCGAAGATGGCTTGGAAAGGGGCTCAGGGGCGAGCGCAGCGGCGCCTGCCGCCAGCGCCGAGGGTCGCGGGCGCAGGCGCGCAACGACATCGACATGTGGTCAGTGCCGAACACCAAGCCGAAGTTGTTCTTTGGCGCGCTGGTTGGGCCTTCCCCCGAGGCGCGGAGCCGCTGGGCCGAGAAGCTCGGGGCCGACCTGATTGGCCAGGCGAGCAGGCCCGCGGCTGGGGCTTGCGCAGGCAGCGAGGCTGGAGCCGATGCGCAGCGGACCAGCAGACGACAGCGTGGCAAGGCGCCGCCCGCGGGAGAGTAAGCCGCGCTGGAGGCCTGCCTCTTCCTGCCGCCCATGGGCGATGCGAGGTCGCACGGCCTTGCGACGGCGGCTGAGGCCCTGGCCGTGGGGCGGCGGTTTGCCCGCGCTGGCGGTGACGACCGCGGCCCGTGCGCGGGCCTAGCTCGCGCGCGATTTGACTCGGGCTCGGCCGCGAAGAGAGAAAAGGCCATCACCGTAAGTGTCCGTCGCAGGCAGCCTCTCGCGCCCCGCCCCCCTGGCCCTGGCCCAACCCCACAAGGAAGAACTGGCCGCTCAGAAAGCGGGGGGGGGGGGGTCCTGGATGCGCCCTGAGGGGGGGGGGGGGGGGGGGGCGGTATTCGGGCGCACCAGTGTCGAGGATGGACGCTTCACCCATCGTGTATCCAGTGGTTCAGACCAAACTTCCCATCTCGGGGGGGGCCCCAGGGGCCGCCACGATCGCGCGAAATAGGAGTAGCATGGATGTCTCACCTGGGATTGGTGCACGCATATGGCCCGTCGAGCCGGCGAAGTAGAAGTTTGCTCAAAGCGCTGAGTTTGCAATTCGAAACGTTTGGTCGGTGTTCCCTTATCCACGTTTCACTTTTGTTTCGACGAGCACGCGTTAAAGCAAGCATCTCAGGAAGTGGGCGCCAGACATGCAGACATGTTTTATCCAAGAGAAATCGTTTCGCTCACCCCGCCGCCCATTTCGCATCGCTGTTGGTTGGTGGTGCTGCAAGATATTTTCAAGCATCTCCAGCAGAGTTTCCAGACGCGCCCACACAGTTCAACCGGTTTGCGGAAGGCTGCGAGGAGGCTCGACGGAGCGCAGGACTGCCCTAGCAGAGCTCG